AAGAAAGAAAGAAAGAAAGAAAGAAAGAAAGAAAGAAAGAAAGAAAGAAAGAAAGAAAGAAAGAAAGAAAGAAAGAAAAGGCTGAATCAGGCCTGGATTAGAGATAATATTGGCTGCCATGGAAACGACGTGGAGCAGAAGCTGTTGTCAGGCCTCCAACAGATCAGACATGACAGGTTTAACATCCTGACAGATACCAAGGCAGTCTTTTTACTCACGCTTCTCCAGAACGAACAGGTAGCCCTCCATGGTGTGCTGGCTGACGCTCTTATGTTCATGAGGGTTCTCCTTCATCTTCCTCATCAGACTTTCAACCTCAGAACGTGTGCTCTCAAAACGGTTCCTCGTCTGTAAGCAAACATTTAGACGAGCTGAGACTTCTACATTTTATAATTCACATCAGCTAAGTATTCGATTTTCCTGTTACTGCAGCAACAGGTCTTTTAAAAACCTTTCAGTGATACAACCTGAAGAGTTCCTACTGAGGGAATCACTGTAGAATCTTAAGCTTAGCAAAAGTCAAGCTTTTCTGTCTACAAATATATACTGTAAATTCTTCATCATGATTGATTATTTAAAACAAAACATCAGCAAATTAAGTAGAGGTGGATATATTTGCCAAAGTTTTACTCATAAATAGAAAAACCTGCAGTTACATTGCATGCCCAAGTCTCCAATCTACCTATTTAAGGTTTGCCCAAAGCATCACTAATCCCCCACCATGCTTACCAGTGGGTAGGAAGTGCTTTTAGATGCAAGTATCTTCACTTCCACGCAACCTGGAGTGACTACTGCTGTAAATAATCCGACCAAAGCTCAAATTTCCAGGTAAAGTCATGAAATGTGTTTGGCAAATTTTATACATTTACATCCCTGATGGAAGTCAGTCTTTCTAGAGTTATTTTGAGGATTTTTATAAACTAGAGATGCTAAATTATTGATAACTTACAGGATGGCAAAATGCTGAAAATATTCTATTTCAACAAAAAAAAAAAAAAACTTTGTTCATAGTGCAAACTTCATCAGGACAAAAGTCTGATTTGTGTTAGTATGTTTGTTTTGGGGTTCTTACATTCTGTATGCTGATAGTGAGATCAGTCTTGAAATGGTTAAAGTCCTTTGCGAGCTCATAGCCATGGTGATAGTAGGTGAACAGGCCTTGTAGAAATGCCAACAGCTGAAACAAAGTGTGAAAAAAACACAGAGGAATTATGGGAAGAATGGATGAAAAAAATGAAAAAACAAACAACAAAAAACCCGAAGAATTTAGCTAGGTTATAATACAAATCAAATATTAGAAATATTCAACTTTTCCTGGGTACTTTCTGAGAAAATCTTGCAAAAAATTCTTTATTTCCTAAAGAAAACAAACAAAAGCTGTTCAGAGCAACCGGCAAATTAACTTAATGTAATAAAGACCAGTCAGCAAAATGAATTAAAGGAACCTTTATATTGTTTAAAGGCTATAAATAGAAAAAAAATGAATAAAAATCTGTGCTTTCTTACAGGCTCCACAAAGTCAAACATCTTCCTCTCTTGAACCTCTTGAACCTTAAAAACGTACTCCAGAGAAACTTCATAGAAATGCTGCCTGACATGATCAACCTGGTTGTCTGCCTGGAACAGAAAAAGGAAATGGATACGACGATCAATGTGGGAGGTTGGGAGACAGATGACAGACGTGGACTCAAAGAAATTGCCTTACTTCATGTAGGTGGGACTCTTTTTTCTTTGCTGAAAGGCTTAGATGTTTCTCCAGCACCGCACAATATTTCTCTGTCTCTTTGTCGTACTTCTTCTTGGCTTCCTGTCACAAAGAAATCCAAAGAAGACATTTTTTGATCAGTCTTCATGTATCCTGCTCTCTTCCTGCAGGCTTGTAGATCAGTTTCTCCACTTTTGTAAAATGCATTTGTTGATTGAGCAGCAGAGTCGAGTATGATGCTGGTAGCCATGACAACATTGTCAAATTGTCTCTGTTAAACAGCTTTTGTTGGAGGCAGTGAGGAGGGTATGGACCAGTGTCTCCCTAACTGGGAAAACAAGGCGTGTCATCAGATTAAGTAATGAGATGAGATTTTGCGACCAGTAGAAATTCTCCATCTGAAATCTTAGGGGAGGAAATTGTTCATTCCTGGTACAGTAGAGCTAGGTTTATTAGAGATCTCCAGAGTTTGGGATGAAGCAAATCAAATGACCTGACCTTATTGAACCATTTTGTGTTTGTCTCCCTTCCACCAACAGGAGGCGCCTGATTCTGGTTCGCCTCCTCACACACCTGCTGACGGTTACCTCATTAACGGAGTGCTCTTAAGCGGCTGATTGCCACTACCTCGACGCCAGAGTGTTTGCCAGTTTTTGGTACTCTAGCCAAGCTGAGTTTTCTCTGAGTAAGACTGAGTTCTTGTCTCCCTGAGTTTTAACTTTGTTTTTGTCTTTGCCTCTCAGCAGGAAGTCATCCTGCAAACTGGACCTTTTTGGACCTCCTCTTCCAGGAGGGATCAACTGAGCCTTAAACTGAGCGACGGGTTCCAAACAGGAGGTTTGGATCCAGTCTCCTTTTTGAGGACGTTGAAATTACTCTCTGAGCAAGGGAATCATCTTCACCAAGACCCGTTCAAGTACAGCAGGAAATCTGAGTGGCAATCAGCTTCTCCGTTCACCTACACCGTCCGAGTTCTGGGTAAACCCTGTTCCACCCTCCGCCGAATCAGACATACACTGGAAAACCAACACACAGATTGGAGCCAAGGATCCTTCAGTTCTCTGGAAACGTGAGTCAACAATCAGATCCTCTCCTTCAAGATCAACGAATCAAATTTCCCACTGAGCCTGAACTAACAGTCTGTCTTCCCCTTGCCTTCCAGTTCCGGCTGAACAGAGTTCAGAGAAACTCTGCACCGAGCTTAACATCTTCAACAAAATCCGTCAAACTTTTCATCTGTTTCTCTCTGTTTGGACTTCCACATTTTGGGTCAGTCCTTTAGATAAAATCATGACCGGAGCATTTCACCAAGCAGTTATGGTTCTCAGATTATGGTTCTCCCTCATGTGAAGGCTGTGTTTACAGACAAAATAAATGATTAAATTAACAAATTTGGATGTTACTTCAAACTTTAAATAACCACTTTATTACTGCATGTAGAAAATGTGCTCTTAATTTAGCAAATGCACACAAACAAACACATTAAACTCTGCTCTTTAACCCACAGATACCTCTCCTTCATATTGTGTCGAAATGAAACTGAAAATACAAGTAAACATTTGTCATAAAATATCCATCAAACATTCTTCCCTCCTTTTACTGAATAACTTCACAGATAATTTCAAAAGTAATTATTTAAATGATTAGAAACAGGTACAAACTGTAACAAAATGATAAATAATAAGAACAAAAACAAACATTTATTTATAATTCCAATACCATTTTAAAAAATATGCAAGGAACCAGAAGCATAGGGCAAATAAACATATTTAGTGAATAAATCTTAGACTTAAACTATACTTACTGCAGGTATGGTTCTTTAGGAGAAAGGACTAAAGTTGGTTAAAAGTATTTTAGGCTTAGTTTACACAAAACCCTCAAGACTCTGAAAAACAAAGAAATCCTGCATTCTGAGAGAGCACAGGCCTCTTAGCATTAATAAGGAACTAAGGGATTTTCTGTTGAGGTCAGGTTATTAAGAGCTTTGTAGCTGAGAAAATTATTCAGGATAAATGTTGAACTACGGGGAGAAGTAGTGCAAACAGTCCCATACAGGAGAGATATGGGCTCATCGTCTGTCAGCATGTTTCCTTTTTTAATTTACAAATATGGCATTTATGCAAACTTTTGCATTTAGCCACATTTTAACTTGTAGCTGTTTTATTAAATGAAGTGCTGGAGATTTTCTGAATAGCTTTTTTTGTTCCCCTGGAAAGAATATTTCAGGACTCAGTGAGAATCTGGGAGCCCAGCTGTTTGTCCAAAAAAAAAGTATTTCAGCACATGGACAAAGAAACATGGTAGGATGATGAGTTGGTTCTTAAACTATGAGCTGAAAAATACTGAGGAAAAAGGAAATGCTCAAACCGAGCAACAAAAAGCTGTGTCGTTCCTCCAGGTTTGAGTGGGAATTAGAAAACAGCTGCAGACCATATCAGGAAGGGTTAGTGTTGCTCATAACAACAGATTCTCTGTTCAAAGTTTGCCTCTTCGATTCTCTATAGACGCCCATTCTAAAATAGCAACTTCTGTTTAAGATCTATTCCAGGTTTCACATAAGTAAAACAAATAAAAATAGTAAAGTGTTCAAATCTAAATTGCTCTTCTGGGCTTTTTTCATAATTCTACTTTAGTTTTGCTGAAGTAACAAAAGTTTAAGTAAAAAAATAAAAATAAAAAAAAAAGTGAGACAGAAGTGAAAATATTGGAACTACCAGCAGGTGGCAGTGTGATACAATAGCTGAGGATGTTAACTTTACTAGAGCAAAGAAATGTTTTACACTAGCTTAAGGTCACATATCTATAATAAAGTCATAAACAGCACATCTAATATGCCCAAAAAAAGAGAAAAATGTTAATTACTAGATTATTAACCCCAGTGTCTTCCAGAAAAGCTTCACTTTTTCATTTTGTCTTGTAAAATTCTAATATATCCAGTTTTATCAAGCAGTTTTTAGTCCAACATCTTTTAATAACTAAGGTTATGGGTTTTTTTTGTGACTAATTATTAGTCCAATTATTAATCCAAACAAAAACATCAATAAAATCCACTCTTTTTGCCTCAACCCGCAGTTAAAAATTCAACAACAGTTAAAGGAAATTTGAATAGGAAGCCTACCTAGAGACCGACAGCAAGACTGCGGGAGCTGCATCCATTTTTTAATTGGCTGCTGGGGATATTTATGTGAGAATAATCTGCTGTATGCTCTATTTGTCACAAAAGGTTCTGATCCTGCTTAAACCTCCCAAAACCTCATAGGAAAATATATTATTGTCTAAGGGAGCCAAATCACGACGTTTGTAAAAAAAATTTTAAACACACCGCTGTGTTTCAGCCAAAAAACACCTTTCCCACTATAAAGCAGGGTGGAGACTCTGTCATGCCCTGGGGTTCTCAGGTTTTTCATAAGAAATGGCATCAAAACTTCGTATATATGGATAACTTTTGCAGGATAGATGAACATCATCATATCAAACTGTGACATTCCGACATTCTCCAATCAAAAAAGGCCAAATATTGAAATTAAAAGGGAGACATGATAAGAAGTTTAAAGCAAATGTTAGCTTATGAATGTGGTTCCAGATTTTTTTAATTTTTTGTTATTTCACCCCTAACTAATGTGTCTGTTTTTCTATTGCGTTACACAGGATGAACTTCGCAATAATGGTGGAAAATACCTGAAAATGATTAATCCTGAATAAATCTTTAAATGCCAAAGCTGGAATTGTAAAGGTTGTATTGAGACCAAGCATTGTTTGTGCTGCTGAGCGTTGCATCTCAGTGCATTTATTGAAATAATTCCACCATTGGTGAAAGAAAACAGGCAGCAGCCTCATGTTAGCATCATTTGTTCTTCAGGTCTGTCAACATTTGATTTTATTGCGAGGCAATTGTTTGAAATCATTTTTTGTGGGATGCTTTTGGTTAATTGAAATTCACCCGGGAATAATATAACAATCTAGACCTATTGTATGAAATATGCAACCCTACAGATGGAGCTTATTTTTTTATTTAACAAATAAACTCTGTGGCAGATCTTAAATCATCTCTAATCTCTATCTTCTAATGGTAGTATTATCATATAATTTAATTTGTCCTAACTTCATCAAACATGCAGTAACCGTTCCAAGATCAGACAAAACCCTGCAACACAGGATTGATAAACTGTTTATTTAAAATATATGTTACTTAGAACTCCTGCTGCTACATATTTAGATCCTTTGGCTACTGACCGCATGGATCAAGCACATGTGACCTAATCAAGTCAGATTATAATCTGTAATATTTGGCACATGGGGGAGGGTCTTTAGGGGGGAAAACATGATATACTGTTTTGTTTTCTTTGTGTTTAATGTTCTAATGCAAGAACATATACCCTTGATCAGGGGAGAACTGCTATTTCTGTCCTTTTAATTAAAGCAGCAATATATATTTCCCTAATCTGTAATTTAGGTCATTTTATTGTCTTCAGGGAAAGACAAATACTGCAGCACAGGTCAGTTGGGGGTTGGGGTCTGCAAGGAAGCAATGTGAGTATATGGGCATGGCTTACAATGCTCCTGGTTAACTGCTACTTCTGCTGGGTTGAAATCATCTAAAGTTTTGCTTGACTGTTTAGATACCATCCCATTAAAGAAAATTAGAAAGTCACATTAGTAATTCAAATAAAACAGAACTGGAAAAAGTATTTAAAAAATTATTAAATGACAATTTAGTATTAATTAAATGTTTTTACAGCATTCCTCCATAATCGTGAATATATGTAACCGGTCTGATGGTTGAATAACCTAAATAATAAATTAATTACAAAAAATATATGTGGTGTTCTGCTCATAGGGATGACATTTCTTAGATTATTGAACAAATGCCATACTCAAAACCTTTTTATTATGATAGAAGGGTTTTTGAATTCAAACGTTGATACATTTTATCAACTTTGTTTTGGATTAAAATGGGATTTAGTAATTTGGAACAACTAAAGATAGATAGACAGACAGACAGACAGACAGACAGACAGAAAATAAGTTTTCATAAGTATTTTTGCCTGCTTTTCATTAAAACGTATCTATACTATTTTATTTTAAAAGGCTAGAACCTTCATCAGGGTTTGTGTGTGGTCCAGCGGCCACAAGAGCATAAAGAGGCTTTATTGATTAATGTCTCACAGCCGCTGTGGACACATCAATACTCATCTACAGCTCATGCAATGTATGACCATTTCTGTGACTGGTGCTGTGGTTGATTGTTGTTGCTCTTCTTACCTTTGCTGCACTGATCTGCTCTTTCCTGAACCTCTCCAGCGGAGTAATCAACACGTCATTGGCGTTTTCAATCTACAGTGGGAGGTAAACAGACAGACATGTTTTCCAGTCAGCAGCGGTATATGTCACAGCTTGCATGATTTACATTTGAGACATTTTGGTCTTTTACTAATGATCTAACCAAGAGAAGCCAAACATGGATGGATGGATGGATGGATGGATGGATGGATGGATGGATGGATGGATGGATGGATGGATGGATGGATGGATGGATNGATGGATGGATGGATGGATGGATGGATGGATGGATGGATGGATGGATGGATGGATGGATGGATGGATGGATGGATGGATTGGACGTAGCCAACTTTTATATAATGGCATAGTGCAGTGATTCCAAACTGGGGGTACTCATACCCCTAGTGATCCACGACTGCCATGCAAGGGGTACATGAATATATGTTATTTATTTGGAAGTAGAATAAAATAGGGCTGGGATCTGTTTTGCTTTGTTAGGACCAAATAGAAAAATTAAACAAGCTTTCATCAACTAAAAAGTAAGTTTTTCTTACGTTTGAGTTGGAAGATGATGGAATGTATAAAATGCATAAGAATTAAATGTTCAAATTGAAAGATTAAGTAAAATTGTTTTTATTTTATAATCAGTTATCAGTTAGTTACATTCCACTTTTGGACAATCATCAATATTTTGACTGAGAGGGGAACTCCTGGTAGAGCAAAATTCATAAATGGCTACAGAAGTCAAAAAAAGTTAAGAAACACTGGCAAAATGAATCAAGTCTGCAAATGTTAATGATAGAAGTATTTTTATCCTAATAGTTATCTAGATCTAGATATTTAAATTCTAGACCCTATTACTTTTCAGGATTACACTGGATTCTCTTATAACATGAAGTCTACAAAGACATGCTGTAAACTAAAGCTCTGACTCTCAAAGAGGCCAAAATGTTACAAGTGAATATGAAGATGATACCATACAGAGAACTATATTTTTTTGTTATGAGCAAAAGTCTTAGTTCATCATAAAAAATAAAAAAAAAACATTATGAAGCAGATGCAAAAAAGGAAAAAATCCAAATATCCTAAAAGTAACCAGCGGTAATATATTTTACGCATGTTTGAAGCTCACTCACCATCCTTGTCCTCTCATCCTCCAGGTTTTGTAGGACAGCTGCAAACTCCTGAAGCGACTTGGCTGAGGAGGGTAATGTCGCCAAAATGAACATGAGAAAACAGAAAAAAATAATCATAGAAACAATAGGTTTGTTTGTCGTTAAAACAAAGGTGGTGAGATAAAAGTACAGTGTTCATGTTAACGGATTCTTTAGAAATGTCTTTAAAGTCGTCATGATGCAGCTCTCAGATTAACTGAAAATCAATCCACTACTCAGAGGATCAGTTGCTATGGTTTTATCATGGAGAACATAGCTCTGAATCCTGATCATTGGCAAGAGTGTCATGGTTTTGGTTCTGTTTAAGTTTTATCTTTGAGTTTTCATTTTTTTTATTTCTATTTTGTGGTTCTCATTATATTTGATTGTATTTGAGTTCTTTGGTATTTCTTGTTTGCAATCTTGTATCAGTCTCCTTTTCCATAGCTCCCTTCTAGACTCCTCTGTCCACTCCTGGTCCCAATCTACTGATTAGCCTGATCTTTGTTTCTGTCTCCCATATGTACAACTCCTGCTCAGTCATTTCAGTAGTTTTGCATTTTGTGGATTATGTTTGTCGATTTTTGATTCTGTTATCCTTTTTGTAATTAAATCTGCAAGAAACCACTTCAGCTTCAGTCTCTGCATTTGGGTCTTCTTCAAACCACCACCCAACCTGACAGAGAAATACTCCTACATTGTTTGGGTCAGAGTTTCTGCCTCTGCCTGTCAAACACTTCAGGTGCAAATGTAAACACAGGCACACTTCTTATTGTACTAATTACATGCAGAAATTGGGATTTCTTGTAAAAATGTCAAGTTCAGAAATATCATTTAAAATGAAGCTTGATTTTAAATACAGATAGCCCAAATATCTTAAACCAGTCACATGGAATAAAAGCAAAATAAGAAGCGTTGACATGCAGCAACAGATCACTGTAGAAGGGAGAATAGCAGTTCTGACATGTCTATGAATACTATGAAACAACAGCTTGGCTCAGTTGAACAGCAAGCTGTTCAGGAAAGATAGCTGGGGATAGTTAAACAACAGCAGTGGGTGGGTCAGAGCGGAGCAAAGAGCCGTGGCCTGCACAGACAGAGCTGGGCAGCCATGAGAGGGGTGTGGCGGCTGCGCTGCTACAGACACAGCAGGATGTTGGAACAGGAACAATCCAGAGAAGCAAACGGTTGGACTGTAACAGCTTTGTTCTAGAACAGAACCACATAGGATTAGGCCAATCCCTAATAGTGCATTATGTTCAAAGTACTGGTATAAAATCAGTTGGATAATAGGATGAGAAAAGGCCTGGATTCGCTAAGAAACATCACAATTCATTTCACTTTATAGAACTCTGCAACAGAGAAATACATAATTTTGTGATAACCTCTCTACCCACATGTAGGACTAATTACTGCCTTGTATGATTTGAACAGGACCTATCAGACAACACGAGGTAGGCCAGAGACGGTGGTCAGCTAAGTAGATTAACAGATTTCATTGTGCACAAAAGAGCTTCAAGAAAAAAATAGAAAAAAAACAATCAACACGAATAGACAAACATCCTGTAGTGTCTTGATTTAACAAGATGTGCAAAGAAAAGAGGGACAATGACTTCTGGTTTGAATAGGGCTTTACCCTTAATAAATGAACATCAGAAAAAACAGCACAACCCCAAAAGCAGAAGACTTCTGGCATTCTTTATTAAATCTCAATAACTGCCTCTATTTTGAAAAATTGTAAAATGACTCTATATGCCCCTTAATATCATCTGGATATCAAAATAAAAGATACAAAAGATATTTGACACTGCATTCCTCAATATTGGCTTCAATGTTTTGCAAACTCTGCACATCAAGATAACTTAACCTTTTCAATAAAAGCTTAATATAAACTGAGCTGTAATCTAAAAATAGATCATGAGGAAACTGGAGACAGAACAGGCTAATCAGATCCTTTTGGAAAGCATTCTTGTCATTTTTGTATCTGCAGACTCAAATGACGGCTGTTTCAGTACTTAACAGTTATGTCCTTTTCTAAAGTATTCAGCACATTGATGCAAACGATAACACCCACCTATGCATATTTCGTCATCCGTCTCAGCATCTCCAATACACTGGAATTTGAAGTCATTGAGGGAGTCAGCGAACTTCCTCTTTGCCGTTGACAAACCTAACGGAAAAGAAACAAGAAAAAAAGTTAAGTAATTTAAGCCTCTTATAAATGATATTTATTTTTAATGGAATAAAAAGTGAAATTAGAGAATAATTCAAGAATCTGTTGCATTGTGTCCACCACATTTTTATGTAAACTTTACCTAAAAGAAATAGTTGCTATTTTCAGAATTTATTTCATATAAATCTATTTTTCTGTAGTTATGTTTGTGCAGCAAAGTTTCATATTAATCTCAAGGGGCCATAAGAATACTCCAAGTATGCAAATAAAACATGAGGGGCTAAAAGCTCCAGGCAGATAGACACTGGCAGCCTTCTAACTCACGGGCAGATTTGGCCTCGCTACAGCATTTCCTGTTGGGCTGGCTGAGGTCAGCCGCACGCACAAGCTCAGAGTGAAAGGGGCAGGATAAAGAGGAAGGCACAAACTACAACACATTATTCAAACGTCTTTTAGAAACCACACGTGAAGGGGGGAGAGTCACCGAAACCAGGGTCTTGCATGCAATCCTGGGTAAGCAAATCAAGGCACTTAAGTAGACTTAAAATAATGACCATTTTATATGGTTGGTTTGGGGATAATATCTGCTCTTGCACTTTGGTGGTCAAAGAAGAAAGAGAAAGACTTAAAGGGGTAATATTATGGTGTGGTTAAACCCTGCAGGGAATTTCTACTGTTCAAGCAGTAGGACGTGTTCTGGGAGATTAAAAAAGAAGGCACAGTTTTAAATCTAATGATAGTTTTACAAAAACAAAGATAGGATGTAATAGAAATGAAAAGAGGACAGATCATGGTTGTTGCAGAGACATGTGGGAGTCATGGAAAGGACAGCGAGTGTAAAGAAGACAGACAGTAGTTGGCGTTCCTCATGTACATGCTGCAGAGTCTGCAGCGTTTGCCAATCAGAAATGAAGCCCAGGCCTCTTCAGTTCTAATGGAGCTGCCAGAGTATTAGACATGTTCTTGGCACAGAGACGTGCATCATTTTCTCACTCGAGACTGACACACTAGATCATTCTAGTCACAAAGCAATGAGTCAGAGTGGCTTTACTCAATCAACAATAAGTACTTATTACCAACCTGAAACCAATGTCCAAATTAAAATGCTAAGAACTCAAAGCCCTACATTATACTAATTATATTGGTGTAGTGTCAGTTAACAACCAAAGATTGTATAATAACGGGATGAAGCCTCTACTCCACATTAGATACTGTAAATTAAATAAACATCTTTCCTGTGGTAAAAGCAAATTTAAATAGCTAGAGTTTCCCCCACCACATCAACTAATACCTAGGTGAGTATTTCCAAAAAACACACACTCCAAAATGCTCAATATAAGTTGTCTTTATGAGAGCATGATGTCCAGTTTCATCTTGAGGGATAAAGCAGGAAAAGCAGGGTTTATAATTAAACCCGGGGCTATCAGGATATACTGTAGTCTGGAACCAGGGGTGAAGTTTCCCCCCTTCATCTGCCAGTACAAAGAAAGCTTACCCAGATAGAGATTTAGCAGAACAAAAATTAAGAAATAGTACTCTCACTTTACCCTGAATCTCTGTGGGTGGAGTTTGTGACTTAGAGGAGTTCTTTCCAGCATTTGTGAGTTCTTTGTGTTTCTATAACAAATTAATCTACCACAGACGCAATGGGCGGCTTGGGAAGCCACCCAATAACCATATCAGGAACAGCATAACAAATGGGAAAATCTAAAAAAAAAGAAAATGGGTC